TTTATTTAGTTGATTTGTGTCTGGTTCTTGCTGTCTTTTCATATTCGTTTTCTGGGTATGGAATTACACCTCCTTCCTCTTGTTGCTGGGTGAAGTTCAGTGTAATCAGAATGTCGTTTGAGGCTTTGAACACTGTGTGACATGTGGTGATAGGGGTCAAGCCTCTGTCTTTATGGTCTTTGTATCCTCCCGCAACTGTTGTAGTAGTTTGTTAGACCGCTCACTTGCTGTTGTCGGTTCTGTCCTTTTGGCTTTATCTTGTTTGGCGGGCACTCCTAGTGAAACAGAGCTTCTGTTGTTTCTTTTGTAAGACCATGTGTTCTCTGATTTTATGCAATTATCACAATGGTAAAAGGAAAAACTAGTTCCCTGCCTTGTGGTGCGAATGTAATTTGCTTGTCGTTGATCTCATCTAGTACTTTTCTCAGTTTGTACTTCTCGTTGGCATAATTGAGATTGCAATTTTTGTTTTATATGAAACTCTTAGTGCTGAACTTGATGGTTGGTTCCATATATGGTTGTCCCCGGATTTCGAATTGCCTCTATTTAAATATAGGACACAATGAAAACAAACAAGGTTGCTTATACTTCTAAGAGGGACGCTGTGAATTTCATTCAACCAAGCTCTTTGAGGGAAAATGTGAGTAGGCAATTCTTTTCAAGTATATCTAGTTCTGGTGGTGATTGCTCTCATCGCAGCTCGGATAGTGGAGTTCCATCTTGAAAATGTGCCTAGCTGGGTACAAAAAGATGATTGGGAATGGTTGGTAAAAGAGCATTACCTAACTGAAGAGTTTAAGGTAAACATTTTTACTTCCTTCAATTAGTTATATAATTATTATGGCTAGTTCGTGATGCCTCAACATTTTATTTGTAGTAAATAAGTGTAAGAAACGCAAATAATAGAGTCCAAGGATCAATGCCTTGTCTTCTTAGAAGCAAGTCAATCGCAGAGTTTACATATGAGAAGGTATTAGTTGTTTGAGATTGATGTCAGGCATGTTTTTCCCTCTGTTTTGTTCTCTTTTCTGAATTAGTTTCCTCTCTTTTCTTCTACTTTGATAATTGTTAGGTTTGGTAGTTTGAATTGTGGGTTGTATAAGTGGTTATGGTGCATATCTTAACTATACCTCATTTGATTTGTTTAGATAGACGAAGAAGGGAATGTTCCAAGTTTCGCAACCATGTTCTCGCTCTCTCTCTCACGTCCAAAAGGAGGAGCAATCGATCCTAAATGTGCTGGAAAAGAGGTATGTTAAATTTCATTTATCTATCTACACAATCTGATATTATATATACTAAACTAATTATAAGACTTTATACTCCTCAATAGGCAGAAATTAATAAAATTGCACAAGACAATCCAGGAAAGGATGCCTTGGAGCTTGTGGAGAAATGTTTTGGGCCACAAAATCATGGTAATGTGCTCGGATTTGGAGGTGGGGTAATGAATAAAGACTTGAGAGATTCAAGAAGGGAAACAACTATAGAGGTTGAAGCTCGACTACAGCGAAGTGAAGAAGAAAAATCTGCTTTAGAAGCAAAAAATGCAGCCCTTGAAGCTGAAAAGTTGGCTTTTGCAGTTGAGAAGGAAGGACTACAAAATCGTGTAGTTAATATGGAGGTCAACTGTATGCTCGAGATTAACTGCTTGAGAGAAATGAGTTTACTCCAACAAATTACTCAAGGAGTTCCTCTGGCCACCCAGAATCAACCCATTTAATCAGGTTTTGTTCTGTTTTCTCATCTAATCTTAGGATGTTCTCTTTCAAATTTAAACATTTTCAAGCCTTTTAGTGATGAGTTGTGTGCGTTGACAGCACTATATAATGATTGTGAGATTCCCCAGTAGAAGCAGGCTGGCTTAGCGCCCTAGTTGCTCTCTGCTTGCTGCATGCGTTTATGCTAGCTAGCTGCTGCTGCAAGCTCATTAGATTTTTTGCCTATAATCCTTTCATTTGCAGTAGCAGTGTATATACTTTCAAGTTTTAAACCTTTTCAAGCTTTGAGTGACATGTTCAAGGTGACATACTCTCAGAATGATGAATAGAATTTGTCAATTTGTTGATTGTTATACTAGTAGCAGTTGAATCTCCTAGTAGGTGGATTTTGATTTTATTAGGCATGTCTTTCCATTGAAAGAATTCGTTGGCATTAGGCAAAATTATTTGCTCATAACTTGAACTATTTATTTTCTCTCTAGCATAAGTATGAGAGCTAATATTGGATTGTCTTTTGTGAACAGGTGCTTATATGTTATTGGATTGAATGGACAAGGCGGCATTGACATTGTGTAAATTTGATGTGTTTTGAACTTTTAGCTAGCTAGTTTCTCATGTCCATGATTTTGTACCAATTAAGAATACTTTTGGTGAGAAGTTAATATTGTTATCTTATTATCAAAGTGTATATGTTTAACTTTGTAGAGATGATCACTGTTTGTAAGTAGGCAAACTTATCGTTTATTAATATATGAATATTTTTAGTCATTATTGTTCGAAGCTTAATACATACAGAAAATAGCTGTAACACCTTAGACAAATCCCACATCGACAAAGCACGGGAGAGATCCATGGTTCATAAGTAGGAAACCGTCCTTAACTGACAATACGCGTTTTGGGGTGTAATGGAGGAGTTCTTGTGAGAGCTCCGAAGTTAAACGTGCTCAGTGTGGAGTACAACAAGGATGGGTGACCTTATGGGAAGTCACCCTGAATTGCACCCCAAGTTGAAATCCGTGCGGGTGTAGAGGCCCAAAGCGGACAGTATCTTGTCGGAAAAAGGTTCGGGATGTTACATTAGCATTGTTGGCAAAAAAAAAAAATAATAATAATAAAAAAAAAACTCCAGCGTGAAGGTTGGTATTATTTATCAATAATTAGTGGAGTGGTAATTTGGTCACTTATAATTACCGGATTCCATCCAGAATACATATAAATAACGAGGGTGAGAAAAGTGCTTGTTCACATATACTGACCGGGCTCTCTGTCGGCATTGCTGCAAGACCAGTTGTCAAAAAATCACTTGCAACGACCGGAAGTCTCTCCTCTCGGCAAAGCTTTTAACGACAGGTAAAAAATTTACTGTCGTTATAGAGTTTTACCGGCAGCAGCTATAATGAGGGGCTGGACCCGGTCGTTAATAACTTTTGCCGACCGGATTTGAACTATTAACGACCGGATTGCACCCTCATTAAAACCTCTTTTTTTTGTAGTATCGTCTAAGCTCGCCTAGGAACAAGTCGGAAGGAAAACACTTCGCCTTGACAAAAAGCTAAGGAGAAGGCGTCACAATCACATTGTGGCTTTGGTGGCCTCTGGCCAGCTTTGAGTCGTGTCTCAAAATGATGTCATGATGTCTTTTTTCTATCTTTTGATATGCTAGAATATAGTTAGAGACGACAATATTTACAGAAGCGTCCTCTTTCTTTTTGCGCTTCTTCGTCTCAATATGTTTTGCTATATTCAAGCTTCTTCTTCCTTACTCATTTCTCCACACTATGTTTTATATTTTACCATGAGTGTTGATGCAAGTTTAGAAATGAATGGTAGATGCGATAGTATTTGGTTCATAAACTTGTGATTCTAGACAAGTATGAGATATTATGTTACGTTTACATCTAGGAGTTGTTTGCTTGATGGATTTGGTGATGGACTTGGTAATAAATTTGGATCCATCATGGACTTTGTTCAAAATTCAATGTTTGCTTCATGTATTTTGGAGCAAAAAATCCGTGGGTCCCACGAATTTTAAGGGTCCAAATCCGTGGACCCCACGGACTTGAAAGTTCCACCAGTTTAGGTGGGAATTGATCATGGACTTTGAAGTCCATCGCCTATGTTTGGCCCGACTTTTAGAAGTGCTTTTCGGCTTCAAAAGCTGAAGCAGGGTCAAACACCTTTAAAAGTTCGGCTTTTGAAAAGCCGAAAAGTGCTTTTATATAACATAAAAGCAGAAGTTGCGATTTGGAGCTTCTGCGAAAAGCTGTTTTGAAAATACAAGATTATCCTTACCATATTTTAATTTTATTTCAGAAAATATAATTTTCTTTCATTTATATATTCTTAAAAAATAAAATATTATATAAAATCGTGTTATTTAATATAAAAGAAATCTAACAAGATTCATTTGACTATTTTATTGTTTAGAATTATTATTCATAGTTTATATTATAAGTCCTTTATAGTCATTTTACACAACTTCTCATATCAAAAAACACTTTTAATAAATTTTCAACCAAACACTCAACTGTTTTTTTTAAGTACTTCTCTAAAAGCTCAAGCGAGAAGCTGCTTCTGAAAAAACTACAGCAAGGTCAAACTAAGCCATCATTTAAGACCAAACTACTCCTCCTATTTGATTTCTTTTATCGTAAATGAGGGCAATAAAGGTAAATTTCACTTCATATATACAAATCTAATTAATCAATTCCTTCATGAAATCTATGAAATAAATAATAGTATTTTTCAAGTCCATAATGGATCCAAAACCCGTATATATCCATAGTTTTACAAAACGCAAATTATACGAAAATCTTCATTTTTCAAATATACGAAGCAATTAACCCGCTAACGCTTAGACACACCTACACAACGCCTAGACATACTGGTTGTCATTTGGGATGCCCTTTTCCTCCATCTGGTAATGTACTAAAGAGAAGGACTCGGTTAGGTTGCAACTTGTCGCAAGGAAGAGCCTTGAACCTTGGGGAAAACACAAAAAAAAAAGCTCTGGAAAAGGTGCATTGGTGATGACGGTTCAACCGGTTAACCTAACCACTACACACTTATTGGAACGGTCTAGTTCAGAAGAACTGGTAATTGATTGACAATACCAACATCACCAAAACTGAGAGCTTCCTTTGAAGCTTCAAAAGATCAATCAATAAGACAATGGATCCTTGAATAAGCTATCCAGAGAACTGGAGATCCAGATTCAACTATACCAACATCACCAAAACTGAGTTATGAATCAATTGCCCTCATGGTCCTTTTACTTGCTCAAAGTGAGACATGGACATCAACAGTGGAATTGGTCAATATGATATCTTTCGTGTTATCGAGTGCCTTAGGGTGATTAGGGCATTCTATTCTTATTCTGACATGCAGTGGTTTCACAAAGACGAGGTCTCTCAAATCCTTTCCTGATCTTGACAAGAGCTGAATGCATGAATCTCTTGTGGTTAAGCCGTGACTACCCCATTTTAGGATAGCAGCTATCCTCGCTGCATGTTTATCCTGATTATCTTCTTCGTCTACATTCGCATCTCTTCTGAGTCTCAGATACAGTGGTGCATATATGATCACCTGGAAATCAAAAGTGTGACCATTAAGCTTCAGGCAGACAAGTTAGGCATCCTGGTGTAGTGTTCATATCATAGTAGGACAAGGAATATTTAGTTACTAATGACAGTGTCGTAGAAACTCATTAACCTAAAGGATTTTGCCATTTGGTTGAGACGGATTTTAAGTGGGTTCGGTTGGTATTTGGATGTAGAAACGATAAGGTAGTTACCTCACTCAAGTCAGGGCTCGTATTAACTGCACAATGAATCCGAACTTTGTCGTCCTCAAAATTCTCAGTGTCTGCAATTGTGCTATCATCATCTTCCACAATTGTCTCTGATTCAGCAGCCGATGAAAATGCCAGATTACCGAGTTCATCATACCACTTCTGGGCAACACCAACCTGTATGCAAACCATAAAAGCAGGAACTTCTAAGAGACCCAGTATAAAAGGAACACCAAAGGAATGAGATGAGGAAAGAAGACAACAGATAAGGACAATCAACCTTTTCCGAAGATTCCAGTTCAGCGTTTGTTCCTGAGACTTCAGTAGCAGCTCCTCTTGCCTGACGCCAGATACATCCCTTATGCAATGGTTCAACCAGTTCAGTATCTATTGGAATGTCGACCTTTATATCTACGTCTGTCCTGCCTGGTACACACAGAAAAAAACATGCAAGCACAACATCCACTTAATTAGATATATTGTATGATATCATTTCAGAACAAAGAAATATATATTAATCAATGGTAAGTACATAAACCTGGCAATTGGTTGAAGCGTTGAAGATGATCAGTCCACAACTCATGAGTTGGAGAACTGCAAATCAGCCAGAAAATAAGCATCGTCAGTAGGTAAAGAGTGAGCAGTTTTTTTCTTCATTAATGGTATTTAAATAAATGCTCTAGTGTAATAAGAGCATTCAGTATCTCCATACTTACAGGGAATATACCCTCTCTAGTGGGAAGGAGCACCAGTAGGGTAGTCCAAGGATCCTGTAATTCACCAACTGAAACATGGAGCAGGCCCTAGTTTCTCTATTCATTTTCACCACCTTCTGTACAGCTTCAGTCAAAATAGGGGAAGAAATTTTGAAAGACCACAACGGCATAAAACAAGATAGGAGTAACGTACGAATAGTTGCTTACTTGTATCACAATCAAACACGTGGCCGTTGAAAGTTGTAAGTGATGATATGAGGGTAGCATACAAGGTATCTTTACTTGACAAGTAAGTACCAGCCTGCTGTTCTAACCAATCACATGGCATTTCCTTCAAGAGAGAGAATTTATCTGTGATCAAATTTCCACAGGTATCTCGAATCTTTTGGAATCCTTCAGACACACAAGAAGTTAATGTTAGACAAACATACTAAATACAGAACAACTAAGCTAGGGTAAGGTTTTTAAACCTTTGATAACATCTTTTATCTCTCCAGTGGTCAAATCCATTACCCATAGTGTCTCAAAGCTGCTCATTAGAAACAAAAACAAAACTTTTTTTATGTTCTTCTGAGACATAATTAAAGCAAGCATCTGAAATTAAGATCATAAAGTAGAAACGTTGGCGCCAAACTTAAGAAGACTAGGTAGTTGGTACATATATGAAGATATCTACCTCCGGTTAATGATTAAGCAGTGATCCTCCTCTTCTGACTTCAATAGATGCCAAGGAAACAGTAAAGACTGGGGATAAAACTCTTCGGATTTAGCTTCAACAGCAGCAATTCCAAAGCCCAGTTTACTTGCGATCTTTGTCCATAGACTTTCCTTTTCTACAGTAGCACTAGAAGAAGGATATAACGTCTCTAGAACCCGTCTCTCCAAGTCAGCTCTCCTGACTGCATGGTTCTTCGCAAACAAAATACACAAACAACGATAAATTATATAAGTAGATATATATTAGGGTTATAGGTATAATATGCCCCTATACTATGATGTTTTATCAAACATGCCCCTTTACTATTTTTTTACATCAAACATTCACTTTTGTTAAAATTTTCATCTAAAAACCGTCAACCACCTTTGGTTTGGGCGAATCAAATGTCTAAAATATCCCTAATCATTTCACTTTAGAATTTTTTTTTTGTTCTTTTGTATAGCCAAATAATTCAAATAATTTCACTTTGAAGAGACCCAAAGAAATAAAATGGGCAAAAAACTGATATTTTCTCTCACATTTGCCGATGTCGGGTCGTCTAAATCTCAGTTCAACCATGATAGACAATTTTTTCAATGGAAATTTTAGCAGAAGGGCATGTTCGATAATTTTGTCAAAGTACAGGGACATATTTGATGTAAAAAATAGTAGAGGGGCATGTTTGATAAAACGTTATAGTAGAGGGGCATGTTATACCTATAACCCTATATATTAACACATTGAAACTTACAAAATTGATATTCTGACGAATTCCAATTCCAAAAGAGACCTCATGCATACCTCTTAGTCTACGAAATACAGACAATCCTCAGTGTCATCGTAAAAGGAAGCTCCATGGCGCAATAGCTTGGCACACTCAAAGTCTCCATCCTCAAAACCTGGAGAAGAACCAATCTGACACATAAAACTCGTAAGTTAAAAATTTTTATCACTTTTCTCAGGTGTTAAAAGCAAAACACAACAGAATTGAGAAAGTAAATAGGCACCACAAAATATAAACTAGTATGAAGGTGATTTTAGAGTATCAATTATTCAACACTTTTAGCTGCAAAGAGAAGTGTTGAGGATACAGTGTTGAGGATACGGTGGAGGACATCACATGACACATAAACCAAATATATTGAAGTTATTAAAATTAATTACTTACACAGTCAAGAATACTTCCATTACCATAAGAAATGATGATACGGTGATGATTGGTGTCAGAAAAGAATAGCCGACTGCCACTTATATCTGCAGATATACAGCCTGCAGAAAACCGGGAGGGAAACTTGTTGAGCAAACATGAACAACTTCTCTTAAAAGTTTATATTAACAAAGTTATCTACTATAATTTATACGCATCTTGTTGAACATAAAGTTCACCAACTATGCAGTCTGCCAAGACTACATGCTGAGAACATGCAGTAGGACCAAAAATCTTAGGCAAACCACATAGATCCCAGGGATACTTTACCTGGGAAATAGAGAAGCAAGTTCTGAATAGGTGAAACAAGGGTAAATACAATTTAATATCCAAACCTTTTATTTTAAACAATATAATAGCCAAACCTTTTCGAAAACAATCTAATATCCAAATCGTCAACTTTCTGTCTGTTTGACCGTTAGTTGACACTTCAAAAAAGTTCGAAGTACGACACTTCATCAATATTCATCGATATCTTCTCTGAAAAACCACCAATATATCGTAGTTTCAATCCCGAGAAGTCCATGACTCCACCATGATGGTATAGAATATCTAAATATTCAGTCATCTACAATGCCAAAACAAGAAACAAAGTTGTATTGTGACAATTTCACCTAAACAAAGCTTTTTTGAAGTGTCAACTGACGGTCAAACGAACGAAAAGTTGACGATTTGGATATTAGATTGTTTTCAAAAAGATTTGGCTATTATATTGTTTAAAATGAAAGGTTTGTATATTAAATTGTATTTACCTGTGAAACAATGTATGGTTCCTTCACATCATCAGCTAGTTTTGTCCAAGTGCTTTTCAAATAAGCCATGCTGGAGTTTCCATCACCACGATTTTGTTTTTGTAGTACTTGCATCTCCTCTACCACTGGAAAAGGTTCGAAAAGACAAAACGAATATAAAAGTAATCATATGATTATTTGTAGGAGTTTCTATCAATTTGACGTAGCTCTTCAGTTGCCCCCTAACGGTATGCAACAAACTGTACCCATTTCAAAGAATGATACTTCTAAGAGGGGAATAGTAATGACAAATAGGTCATGCTAGAAGGCAAGCTTTTATCTAAATGCACATAATGTGAGAATGACAAAGAAATCAAACTTCAACTAACCAAGACAAAGACACCGCAATACCTGCATAAAGTGTTCCAATATCCAGATCCTTCTCATGCTGAACTAGATGATTCTCAGAGTCTCTGAACATAATGTAGCAGGCTCCGTTTTCCAACTAAATAAAACGGAACATTCTTTTAATACTATTTAGAGATTAGCAAAAATCGGCCTATGGCATTTTCCTTTCACTCCACTAAAGCACAAAGTATTTCTTCCAAATGCATTAGTGGAGTTCCTTTCAAACCACACCATTTTTACCAGCACTGAGACTTGCCCAATCCCATATTTAGACATGATAGTCAAAGGCAAAACAACCATTCTTAGCTTTACTGACAGTGAATCCTAGGGTGGTTCTGAGAAGCTCAAGCTATAGTAACACTATAGTTCACAGCTGTTCTATGATGAACTTTATTACCTTACCTCTGTGAAGTTCTTGTTTGACAACAGAATGGGGAAGGTGATGTATTCTTTCATTATCAAGTCAATAACATGATCTCGATCAGCAGCGAAGCTAGCAGAACTCCCGGTATGAAGGCCCAAAACACAAAGTTCGGAGAATCTGGAACATAGAAGGGAGAAGATCCTCAAATTGAACAAACCTAACAATGCAACTGTTTAGATCAATACTGAAAGAAACACAAGTGGAAATTGGAAACTCGATCTCAACCTCTGCTGAAGCAACTTCACTTTTTCAAGCATGGCAATTATTTCAGAATCCTGTAAGAACTGTCCAGCGAGGATTAAAAATGTCCCATTTCTCTTCAAGAAGGGTTTATCTCCATAATATACATTTAACCAAACATGATTTGGGCCTACAAAATCCATTTTGAAACCATATCAATGACATCATCTATCAACTAGCCAAGTGGACCTGAATCCATGCGTAAAACTAAAACTTGCACATAAGCAATCTAAACTTGGGCAACAACCTTCATGCTCATCGGCAATGGATCGAACAAAGGAGACCACGTCATCATCTGCTGCAGGGGCAGGAATACTAGTAGATGCTTCTTCTGATGTTGTCGAGTACCTGGAGATCACTGCCATTCATAAGTCAGGCAAAGTACGTAAAGAAAACACAGTGGTCTCAAACAAAAGAGCTTACAGAATGTCCCATTCCGCTGAGCAATTACCTCTGAGAATAAGAGAAGTTCCACCAAAGTATTCCTGGGTAGTTGGTGGTTCTAAGAAATGAACGAAATGGGGCGACTGAAGTGGAGACAGAGTAACCTCTCCTGGCTTCTCCGCTCTGCCCTAAGTATATTCCTAGCAACAAAAGTTACGTAATTGAAGTTCATAAATTTGACCAGTAGGGATAGCTATCGAAACAACAAAGGAATTCCACCAAGGAAAAATGGGCTAACCAGAAGAAATGCGCCGAGAAAACCTTAAAAGTTGTCTCAAGCTTCTACGTATCTGCATCATTTCGCCTTCTTTTGGTTTCGTTCCGCTCGTGTTCTTCCCGCGTCAGCCAGATAGTTACTTAGTAGAGAGCTTGAGATGGAGTTAGGATGCGAAACTGAAAGGCGACAAGGGTTTGAGGAAGAAGAAGCATTGGCGGGGATGGAAGGGTGAGTTCTTAGAGAGTCGCGGCGGCATGCGATGGCGCCCGGAAAACGTGTTTAGTTATTTCCTACTGTTTTCTGGTAATTGATTATCACAATTTTTTCATTGAGTATCATACAATTCTAATCATAATTATAATTTTTAATATGAATGAAATTGTTTTCAAAGTACTAATAAACACAATACAAGTATAACATCATATGTCGAATAAGTTCCTTTATTGCTCTCATTGCACTTCATTGACATTCTCTTTCATGCAATAATCTCGATACTCTTCAAATAAAGTATCGTAATTGAAGTATTGTTTTCCACCTCATTACCATCCATTGCTTATCAAGCTACAATTCAAACAACAAAGGCATCTACATATCCCAACCAAACCGTTTTCCACCTCATTACCATCCATTGCTTATCAAACTACAATTCAAACAACAAAGGCATCTACATATCCCAACCAAACCCACCGCCCAAAAAAGGACTCCAGATACACCAATCACCCAGGCTGATCTAAACCCACCCTTCCCATTAGTCACAGAAACTGCTCTAAGTGCCAAAATCACCACTTACTTTCAGTTGCTCATCAGTAGTCGGATCTTAGTCCTCAAATCGACAGTTATTGCTCTAAGTGGATTTGTAACAACTCAACTAATTAACAAGAAACAACCTCAGATCACACAGTTCATCAATTGCCAAACAGATTACAAACAAACAAAAGGGCATACAATTCACAAAAGGGCAAACAAATTGCCAGTTCTAACACGTCTTTCACACACTTCACCGCTAGCTAATTAAACCACCACAATCAGCAAATTTGACGAACGCATGAGGAGATAATTGACATCCGAGTTAGCTAATTAAACCACCAAAAACTTCAACGATGGCCCAAAGCTTGGTGGATGACATCAGAATCAGTTATCATATCATAGACACATGAATCAAACATGGAAATGGGTAGACTTTCAAGAGAACCAAACAGGGGAGCAAGTAAATCTTTGTGGAGAAGGAAATCTTTCATGGAGGCAATATGTTCTGTTCCTACACAAGGCAAAGTTGGAAGAGGACTAACCTCAAGCAGAGGAGATCGTCGATGCTGCTGGGGAGCGGGAAGGCCGCCTATTTCGACGCTGCTGGAGGAGAGGATTCGTCCGATGGAGAGGCTCGAACGAATCGTCGGGTGGAGGAGGGAGATGGCGACCGGCTGTAGGTTCTCTTCGACGGTGGAGAATCGCGTCGCTGCAGCTTGATTGCGCCGACTGGAGGAAGGATTCGCCTTCGCTGCTTCCCGTTGCAGACGCGGTCGTCGCTGCTGCTTCTCACTCAGGCGCGGGAAAGGGATCGAGTTTAGCTGCTCGTAGGGTTTTAGTTTTAGTGGGCAAAACGGCGGCATTTAGGAAAAGAGGAGATAAGTAAAAAAAGTAGTCGCTGGCAGGGATCGAACAAACGACCTCATTAATCAGCAGTATCCATTTTCCGCTAGGAAACAGGGAATAACCCGTCCCATTATTTCTAGGAAACAACTTTTAATGGTTTCCTTCTAGCTTCCTCATTTATGCCAAATGAATTTTTCCAACGAAAACGAAACTACAAGTGAACACGTTTCTTATCATTTGTTTCTTGATTTTCATTTTTACAATAGAAAACAGAAAACAAAATGGGAAGTGAACGGGGCGCAAAGGAAGTCCAAAGAAAAACCAGCGCCAAACAGGGAGAGAACGAAAGCAAGGAAGGATGCTTGGAAGGCCGTAGTAAGCCCAGACTGCTTTGTCAGAAGTTGGCCTGGTCCGTTTAATTAAATTCATAAAAGAAAAAACCACAAGATACGACGTCGTTTCCATCTCTATGGTCGGTTAATTAAAATCCCGAATTAGGGTAAGAAAAAGCAAAATAGCTTTCAAAGAGCTGCTGAAACAGTCGGTCGGAAGATATACCGCTGAAATCTGCTGAGAACAGGAGCAATTTCCGGTACAAATTATCAGGGCTCGTCGCCGGCAAATCCAAGCGCGAAATCTCGAGTGAACAAGGCGCTTGAAGGGAGAAGGAGAAGTAGAGAAACAAGTCAGCGAAGGAGGCACAAATGAGATGGGAGTCGCGGCGGCGTGCGAGGGCGGCCGAAGAGCGGAGTCGGAGATTCCAACTTTGTCCTCGATTCATCCTTATTTTTTGCCCGCGGCGGAAGAAATTCCTCACCCGGAGCTTAAAACTGAGGACGAGCAGTGACTCGCTACGACACAATACCTAACAATGGCCAAGTGTAACCAATGGAAGGGACTGCAGTATAGTGGCTCAAGTGATAAATATCGAATCCACGGGTCTCTAGAGTTACTATTACTCAGCTTCAGTTTATTATTTAGCAAACCAGATTTAGATGAAAGAACTAAAACTACTCTAGCAAACTACAGTTAAAGTTAATCTAATTACAGGTTGGGAACTCACTTAGGTATGATTCCCCCTAGCCACTAGCCAGACTAACGATTGATGATTTCTAACTTGTTTCACGTTCATTCACAATGCGGAGAATCCTTGACTAGACCTTGAGTCTCGACTAAAGGAACAAGGCCCTCTTGATTCAATTGCCTAGAGGGACGTATCCTTCTCTAGAACAACTGATCAAGGCGTTCTGAACTAGACTCCCTCTATCGAAAGAGGTTCTCAATCGATACAAAGCAGTGTATCAACCCTCGACTAAAGCAATCGATCCACTACTAACAATCTATGGTGCTCTATTGACCTAATCAGGTATTCCCTCTCATAGGATCAAAGCAGAATCAATAATCTCGACTAAAGCAGAATTGAATCATGAAAACATGCATAGATTGAATATGAACTCAAGATTATCAAGTCCGAGTACTCATACAATCATCCAATCAAACAAACATAGCTAGGGTTCCTCAAAACCTAAGTGAAGGGAAGTTACTCCATAGAGAAGAGAGAGACTGCAGTAAGAATCTTCAGATGATCAGTCTTCCGGTCCGGGCTTGTTCCTCTAGCTTCCAAGGCAAAGAAATTCTCCAATTCCACTCCAAGAATGCCCTCAAATCGCCCTCTCTCTCTTTGGTTCGTCCCTTGGGTGTTTGGGATCCAAAACCCAGCTCTCCCTCTGCAAAAACGCACAAAACAGGCTTTTAACAGCCTGCGTTCGCGATCCCCGGTCAAAATACCCGGTAGGGTATTTTAGGTCACGACAGGGGATTTTTTGGTTCACGATAGGGGATTTTTGGGTCACGACCGGGGATTTTGGTTCACGACCGGGTATTTTTGGTTCACGATAGGGGATTTTTGGGAAAATCCCCTATCAAGGCAAAAAATCCCCTACCGGGGATTTTAGCTTCACGATAGGGCCCCCTTCTGTTTCTGAGAGAAGCCCGAAACCAGTTTTCCCCTATCTTTGATTCTTCGTTTCTCCCTCGTTCGGACTCCAAATCAGGTGCCGTTTGATCCCAGACGCTCGTAGTCTCGTCCTCTTTCTTTTCATTACAAGATTACATGATTATATGGTCACAAACGGAGGTAGAAATCCCTTCTTCTTCAAGTCATACCCGAGTTTCTTCCTCCGAGTCGCCAATTGATCTCCGATTGACTTGAAACTTGCGCCTACGCTTCACTTTATGTGCTAGGACCTGAAATGTGACAAAGGAACACAACCTAGCGTAAAATAGGCCAAAGAAGCGATAATGCAAGCTTAAACAATCAAGAAAGAAAGGGGAAAACATGTGCAAATATCGAGTCATCAAATCCCCCCACACTTAACCGTTTGCTTGTCCCCAAGCAAACCTAACTCAAACCAATGCAGCTCTCCAGACCTCTATAGCAACATGCACCCTCAATCGTAGATAGATAATTTTCTAGATCATTTAGCAGCTTACGAGGTCAACCGACGCACAAGTCATCTCATAGCTTCTTCGGCGAGAACGCTAGTCTCGAGTCGGCATCATGGCAAATAGTGAACAAAGGACAAATGAATCGTGGACAAAGAGACTCTAAAAACAAAAGATCATGGACTCACATTTTTCAAGGTGCTCTTATTTTCTTTTTGAAGACGGTTGGAACCCCTTTTTTTCCTTTTCTTTTGTTCTCTTTTTTTTCTTTCTTTTTCAAGGGTTCCAACCCGATTTTCAGAAAACGGGGCTCCCACCTAGCAAAGGTTTTGCGGGAACCCGGCTCTTACCGGCCATGCCAGGAGCGAATGTCTCGAGCCTCGTGCGGGGAAAAGGAATGTAAGGGGGCTGGAGGTAGTAGGTGGAAATTCAGAACGAATTCCCGTCTCCCCTTACACACTTTCGCCCTATTCGCACGGGAGACGTTATTTTAAAGCACATTTTCGAGCACCTTTTATTTCAAAACTTGATACAGGAGTCCATGACATGTAGAGAATCCACAACACCACACAATTCAAGGGTCCTAAGATCACAAATTCACACAATCAACCAATACAATATGAAGAAGAAATGAGACTTCTTAAATGCATCAACATCCTCCATAGTGCTACACTACCTCCCTAGGTTGTATATTATTATAAAGACTGTCAATTCAAAGCATAATGAGCAGGCAATTGCAAGGAACACGTACTTGGAGCCCTCAAATCGAAATTTGGACAGTGGACTAGGCTCCAAGCACACAAACAGCCAAACATTCACACGCATACATAATCGAACATCCCCCCACACTTAAGCACGACATTGTCCTCAATGGAGAAAAGATAAGGAGGGTAGAACGAAGTTACCAGATCCAGGGTGAATGATGGTGGACGGGGCAGGCGGTGCATTCTAGGAGGAGAGAGTAGTTAGAACACAAACACCACATAAAATCTCACAAAGGTTGAATTATTGACTCTAAAATCAAAGAACAAAACTGACTCAACC